TTGCCATCCTTCATTTCTTTCCCCGTCTTTGATACCTGAGGTGTCCCTTCTTTTCCGTTTTTGATCTTCGTAACTGTTGTTGCCATTTGGGTGTGTATTTCTTTCTGTAAATAGTTTGTAAATAGTTTGTATACCGTTTACATGCAGGCTGTCTCTTTCTCTTCCTTGAGCACCCCCTCTCTTTTGTATCTATGTCTATTATTTTATTTTATTTTATTTTTTATTTATTTTTTTATTTATATATTTTTTTAATTAACTATCTATCTTTATATTTTATTTTTATTTATTTATTCTTGTTAATATTACTTAATTTATTCACTTACTTATTTGTTTTTAAAATTTGAAAGCTTTACTAAAATTTTATTCCGTTACCTTTCTCTCCTCTTCTCTTTTCTTCTCTTATTCCTTGCCCTCTCTCTCTGCCGTTCCTTTTTTCCCTCTGTCCGTCACTCTGTCAGTCCTCTTTCTCTTTCTCGTTCCTTCTCGCTGCTTCGGTCCTCCGCTCCGTTCTTCTTTTCCTGTATCCTGCTTCTTTACTTTTCCTTTCTGGTCGCGTCTCTTACAGTATCCTTCCGGTTCCTTTATGATTTTCTTCAGTCCACGTGCGTGTTACCTTATTTATCTTCCCCCCTTTCCACTTTCCACTTCCTGTCTTTTACTTCCTGCTTCCTGTTGTGTCTTCTCGTTTCTTCTCCCTTCGTCTCGCACACGCCTCTCTTCTCGCGGTCTTTCTTCCTTCCGGCGCGATCACGCTTCCTTCTCGCGCAGTCTCCTCTCCCTCTCTCGTCTCTCAGCTTTCTCCTCTCAACTCTCGCGGAGATTCCTTCAGTTTCCCTCTTATCTCGTCGTCAGCTTCGTAGACACAACAACAGTCCCTTCAAGGTCAGCCGCTTAGGCGTTGAGCATTTAATTTATTTAAATATTTAATTTCTGTCTCTGTTTTTCTTTCTTTCTTTAACGTTAACTATGTGCTCTTTTAATAACTCTTCTCTTTTATCTTTCTCCCTCTTAGTTCTCTTTCTCTCCCTCTTTCTCTATCTCCAAGTTGGAGAGTTTCCAACGGAGGTCTTTTCTTTGTCCATCCTTTCTCCTTTTCCTTTCTTTGTTTGTCGTATTCTTTCTGTCTTCCCTTCCTTCCTTTTACCTTGTGAAAGGGGTTCCCCACCTCCCTCTCCGAATCCTTATGGTTCCGTACTCACTTTTCGATTCCACTCTTGCTTCTTTTCATTAAAATACACGTGGTAGAGGATGAATCGGGCTCGATGCCCTCTCGCCCAGCCGCGACCCGCCGTACCTCGGGCGCCTTGCCGGGTCTTTTGGGTGGTCCCCTCTTGAGGAAGGGACCCCCCTTTAGACCATCGGCGGCCTCCCCGGTTCCGCTGTTCCCCCCGTATCAATCCACGCAGGGGAAGGGAGCGAATGCTCTACCCGATCGCTTGGCTAGGGCTGACACAAGCCGGAGCTCTAAAGTGCCTGTCTCCTCTCCATCTTCGTGCACTTTGTAGTTCGATTTTGAGGTTCTAATAACTGCTGAGTTTTTCCTGTTGTTTTTCCTCAATGTGACTGCCACCTGGAATGGCGACATCAATAATCCAAACTTTTTTCTTTTCCACAATCGTGATGTCCGGCATATTGTGTTCCAAAACTTTGTCAGTCTGGATTCGAAAGTCCCACAGTATTTTGGCGTGTTCATTTTCCACTACCTTTGCAGGTTTATGATCCCACCAGTTCTTTCCTACTGGCAGGTGGTACTTGTGACATAACTTCCAATGAATCATTTGGGCCACAGAGTTGTTCATCTTAAGAACTTGTGCCCAAGTGCAGGAAATGTTCTGGTTACAGTAAACACTTTCTAGTCGCCATGTATACATAAGAGAGATAATAGAAAAACCAATAGCAAAATGTTCAAACAAACAATATGGAGGCAGTGGTGAGAAAACAATCCTAATAAGCCATCACTACGCCTACTTACTTCACCACAAAGCACAGCCAGTGCAATCTGCATACAAGGAGAGGGAAACCGCACTGCCGATCCACTGCTGCTCAGCCACGGATTGATAGTGGGTGTTTCAGCTCCTGAAGCAAAACAGAGAAGACAGTTCTACACAACGAAACCAAGATTATATACAATCAGGTGCAGGATGAATTTGGGAAGGAGCTGGTGATTGCCAATCTCTTACAGCACTAAGATGAGAGGTCTCAACAAACATATCCCAGTTTACATCTATGCTGTGACATACACTATTTAAACCTTGAACTGGGATATGCTGGGAAAGGCTTTCCCTAGATTATGGAAGGACTTGTTGGAAGAGATTTGACAACTGAATATGCTTCCTGAATTTTGAAAAGCAATGAAGATCTCTCTCTTCTGGCAAGTCTATCAAGATGTTTTTAAAATTACGATTTTAAGATTACAAATGTTAAATTATGTACTGGCTGTTTCAATGTGTGCTGGGAGTATATGTTCTTTTAAATGGATGTCTTAATTCAGTTATGTGTTTTAACTGACTGGATATATTATATTTTAATGCAGTTATTCCCTGCTTTGATACATGGTGAGGCAGGAAATGAATAATAAGAAAGATAAATGTGGGTAGCTCCTACAAGAGAATGGTGGAGGATGCATGGCTGGAGTATATTTCATGCAAAGGCTTTCAGAAAGAGTTAAAAAGTTGGCTTTTTTCAGCAGGCCTTCGATAACATTTAAGATAATAGCCAGACTGTCTCCCAATTACTCTAACATTTTATACCCATATTTTGATGGGTATGCAAAAATGATTGTATGAATATTTTAATCAATGGCAATAGCCATATTTTACTGATTTTATTGCTTATGTTAATTGTACATGTTTGGTTTTATGTAAACGTGTTATTGACTTAATGTTGATGTATTGCAATTTATGTGTTGTACAGCACCAGTGTGTGTTTTTGTGTAAGTCACCCCAAGTCCCTATGGGAGATGGTGGCGGGGTATAAATAAAGTATTATTATTATTATTATTATTATTATTATTATTATTATTATT